TTGGGCTTCTCCCAAATCGAACTGGGATGTGGACCATGCCTCCAGTAGCTGAGATGCCAACACAAATAAAAAAGGAAAGAGAGAAGGAGAGAGAGAGAGAGAGAGAAAAAGAGAGAAAGACTCCCCACGTCGCCTGGCTCAAACCAAGTACAAAAGTGACTATTTACAATGAAGGCGTGGGGAGTGGGTGGGGCCGACCGCAAGGGCAGTCGGAGTGAGCGCTCGGCTGGGGAGGCCACGCCCCCTAGGCCCGCCTTTTAAAGGGTGCAAAGCCAAACAGCAAAGGTAATTCTAGAGGATCCCTGGGCCCCCAGGGGAGGCGGATCCTAAGGGGTGAGGGATGGGGATGGGGGCATGGGATGGGGGAGGCATGGGCGCTGGGAGGAGATGGAGGAAAGGTAGCAACTGCCCCTAGCATCCCCCCTGGCCTCCCTGCCGGACACACAAGTTTTCCGTGGGATGAACACAGAAAGGGTTAATCAAAAGAGTTCGATGAGCGAATCTGACGGTCGAGTGGGGCGGGCTGGAGCAATGAGGCCGCAGGTTCCAGTGGTGGCCGGTGGTGATGGAGTCACTTAGAAGATGAAAGGTTGGTGGTTTTGGGGAGTGGGAGGAGGGTTGGGGGAGGGAGGAAGGAGGAGGGTCTCCCTATATTAGGTCTAAGGAGACGAGTGTCCTAGACTGGCTGAGAAGGGGTTAAAAACCAACAGTCTTCACCACCACCACCCTCCACAGAGACTCTCCCTCCCTCCTGCCACTCAGCGGGCGGTCGTCTAGGCCACTGGTGAGTGGGACCCGCTGGACGGGACACACCAGCTGGGACTTCAAGACCGCGCTGACTGTGGTGGAGAGGGCTCCGGACAGCGAGGCTGGGTGTCCAGACTCCACAGGGTGTAAACCAGGCTTCTCTGCCCCCGACCTGGGTATTGCGATTCTGTCCTCCCCCATGGTGACAACCAGTTCAGACTTTGACGACGGCCGGCCTCGATTCCGGATGGCGCTTGGGGGCAGATGCACTGGGCACAGAGAAGGCCTGTCTGGCTGTCCGACAGGTGTGCAACCTAGTGAATCATCCTGGACGCCTAGATTGCCACCTTCACCGCCGCTCTGGTGAACGCTTTTGCAAATTAACCTTTTATCTTGGGCTCGAAACAGCAAGAGTCCATGCAAAGGGAACCTCCTCTCCTCTGTCAAATAGCCGGAGACCAACCAGCCACAAAATAATAAGAATGGCATTGCGGGGGCGGGGACGACGGACGGACGGACGGACGGACCGGCAGAAGAAACAGAACGGGTGGGATTCCAAGGGATTTGGTTGGCCAAGAGTGGAGGAAAAAAAAAAAAATACCGCGGGAAAACAAGTGGTACCGTAATATTCCGAGTATAGGTCTCCAACCATCTGTAAGACGACTCTTGCCAAGCTCCCATGATTCCCACCTACAAGTCCAGTACAGAGATGGCAAAATCACTGCCTTCCAATCCCCGGCCTGCTAATTATTGCGGCAAAATTTCCTCGCCCATGTAGAGATGGCTGGGAGAGGGCAAAGACTATGACTGGGCAGGCTGGCTCAGAGCCCTGCCCAAGACAGAATGAAAAGGTGAATTTGGCACTTTGGAACCCTTTTTGTCTTAAGTGCTTTGCGGCCCCTCCCCAGCAACCACCCCCTTGGGCCAGCAGAAGAAGATGGAGTCTATTTCTCCCTCCCCAATTTCTACAGATGTGCCCAGAAAGAGGCAAAAGGGGTTCTCCTTGGCTGGTGGAATTTGGGGGGAGGGGAATCCAAAAAAGTAGGGGTTAGTTGAAAATGAGCATTTTTTTTTCTCTTTTTCTTTTTTTTTTTTCTTATAAAGATTCTAAGAAAAACTCAGGGTGAGAGGAACGAGGAAGGGGATCCAATTTAGCTCAGCGTCTGCAGGTGTTTTCTTTGCCTCTTAAGGGGCCTCCTCTAAGAGAGGTGTTTTCCTCCCGTCCATCTAAGATCCTCTCCCCCCCACCCCCCCAGATCGGCTCAGTTCCAAGGAAGTTTGGCACTTTTTGCTTTTAAAAGGGGGAAATGAAAGAGTTGAGAATTTAGGAGGGGAAGGAGACAGACAGACGAAGATAGAGACAGGACAGAGAACAGTGGGGGGGGGGGGGACCACAGGAGGGAAACCCAGTGGGCCATAGGGAGCCAGAGAAATAAAGAGAGAGGGGAATGCGGGGGGGGGGGGGGGTATTGGCAGCTGGAGGGCAGATGAAGAGACATGTCAATGCAGGCAACACTTATTAACTTATTAAGCACCTACTGGGTGCTGGAGTGGGGTGCAAGGCCACTCAGACTCTTTGAGATCTGAATGGCTAACGGGCAGAGGAGGAGGAGGCAATGGGTTTTGTTACTATTATTTTTAAAGTAATTCCCATCCCTGGTCTGCATCTGTGTCCCTTCTGGACAAACTACAGCACAGAAGGATTGAGGTCAGATTGCAGAAGGACTTTCAAGGGATAGGGAAGAGGATGGATGGAAACTTCCCAGGGTAAAATGGGGGAAAGGTGTGTGGCTCCCCACTCACCAACACGGTGAGTGGACCTGCTTCCTCAACTAGCAAACTGCCTTTCAGATAGCCCTGGCTGGTGGGGTAAGGGATCCCCAAGAAATGTTAATAGGGACGGGCATGTCACACAGGCACCCAAGAGGACACTTTTCAGAGCTGCATCTGTGTGAGAGGAGTACTGGACCCAGACTCCAGCCAGTGGGCTTATAGAAAGCAGGCTGCCTAGGGGAGGATGCACATGGTTTGCAAATGGCCTTTCTAACCCACCTACCTATCCCAGACCTTGCTTCACCCCCCCACTCCTTCCCCTCCTCATAGGGCCTGAGGGCTTTACAGGGGGACATTCCAGCTAGACTCATTACTACCCACATGCAGGTGGAGCTACTATGAAATACTGTAAGGTCATTTAAGAAGTGGAGGGGAGCAACGGCCCTGTGGGCCGCCCCCATCTCCAATCCCAACAGCCCCGAACCGTAGAAGATATGTACAAAGTGGTATCAAGAATTGTTTTGGCACTAAAATCTCCATCAGGGCTCCGTGTGGAGATGAGGGGTAGGGGGCAGCAGCGATAGGAGGTGGGAGATGGGGTGTGTGTGAAGGAAATGGGGCCTGCCCTTCACTGGGGAGATGAGGACATGGAAAAAGTCACCCCAGTGCCCAAGCTATAGCCTCCCATTCCGGTGGAAGGGCTGGGGGGAGGGGAGAGTCAGTGCGAGGTACCTCGAAGGCTATTGCTTTCTAGGGATTTTCACATTTTGATTTGGGGGTGGCTCTCTAGCTTGGGGTAGGGGGCCTCCCAGGCTTCAGGGGTAGGCATTGTCTGGGTGGCTTCTCTCCTTCCCGCTCCTTTGTAGGGATAGAAGTAAGGAGGCCAGATATCCCCAAAGCCATGGAGAAGAACAGGGTCTGGAAGACCTAGGAGAGAGGATGGAGGAGGGAGCAGGCATGGGGTGCCCCTCCCCCAGAGATGCTGATGATGGAGCCAGGGTTCTGAGGACCCTGCTTGGGGGTTGGAGGAGTTGAAGGTGTCCTCCAACAGGGAGGGGGAGATGGGAGGGAACAGGGGTGCGTCTCAGCAATCCTAGTCTATAGGTTTTTTCAGGCCCTGACATCTGTCTTTAGAGTAGATCAGAGCCACCATGCTAAGCGAATCACTCCCAAAACAACTCTCAGGGCAGCCTGCCTTGCCACACTTTCGCCAGAATCTTCTCGTTCTTCCGAGCCTAAGGTTGAGCACACTGAACATTTCTGACCTACCAGACATCTCACTAACAGCTCCCTGGAAACCACCAAGCCAATTGAATTCATCAGACCACGCAAGGCATTTCAGCCCGAGATGCCCTAAGCTTTGCAAGGCTCACTGAACTCTATACCGGACCACACTGGCCTGACTGAGCCACCATACATTTGGCTCATCCATCAATGAAATGAAGCCACGTAGACACAGGCATGCACACAGAAGGCGGGGGTGGGGAAGGGGGGGATCTTTAGCACTTATTTTCACTGGCTTCATCTCCCATTCTTGCCTGTCAAGGCAAGCTCATAGATGGCATGTGTGGATGGAGATGACCCTGACAGTATTTTTTTTTTCTCTCTTTAGAATCCTCTATGTTAGATCCAAGTCCCATCCTTCAGTCTCTTCCTAGGGATCCCCCTCCCCCAGGGCCAGCACCCACCAAAGAGGAGTGTGGAGGAGGAGGGGCATGAAGGGACTGGCCACTGTCCAATACAGGAAGCGCATGCTTCATCCCGATGATGCCACAAGAAGTGACCTCGAGATTCCATAGGAAGTACATGCCCCTGCCCCTGGCATCACGGAAGTGACTCTGAGGAAGGGTTTTTGTTGTGACCTCATGGGAAGTGGTTTTTTTTTTTCTCTCTCACCAGTACAGGAAGTGGCCTCTGAGGAAATACTTCCTATGACATCATAGGGAGTTACTGGAAGCACCCTATAAATACTTGATTCAGTGACATCACAATGGGACCCCTCGTTTCTCTACCAAAAGCCACGAGAAGCCACAGCAACTGCTCCTGCGCCTCTCACAACACCGCGGCTCACAGGACCCACGGCATCCCAGAGCGGGCAATCATTTCCAGCAGGAACCTATCTGCTCAACGAAGAAAGTTACACTTCCAACCGAGGGAATACTGCAGGGGGACAGTGGAGCTTAGGAAATGTGGGAATCCTGGGGCGGGGGGCGGCTATGTTCCAAACCCCTCATTTCAGCTCTGACTCCTGGGTGGCTACCTCTACTCCTCTGCACTCAGCACGTCCCCAGGATCTGGAACTGCAATCAGAGAGGCAGGATGTTGTGTCTGGGGGAGGCACCTCATTCCAGGTGACCTGGAGGCTCCCTCCCCTCCTCCCATATGTCAACAAAAATCTTATAAAGGAATGGGGGGGGTCCTTATCAAAAAAAGAAGAAAAAGTTAAAAAGGAAAAAAAAAGGAGGGAAAGAAAGAGAAAATAACGCTTTGTTTTCTATTAAAATCAACAAAATGCAATATATACAGATATCACATAGACCTGGACCCTGGGAGAGGCGGGTCAGGCCCAGTTAAGCACAGGGAGGGAGAGAAGAGGGGTCAATTCGAGGCTGGGGAGGGGGCTCAAGAGCCCCCTCCTCAGCCGTCACTCAATCCTGCCTATGACTACCAGAAGGGAGGGTGCAGCCAGGCCTACCCCAGCCCCATCCCAAGCCAAGCAGGAGTCACACCAAGCTGAAGTCTGGCGGGAGCTGGGAGAGAAGGAAGAGGGAGGAGGAGCGGGAGGGGGTGGGGACGCACACCACAGGCCTCATCCCACTTTCTGTGGGTTTGAGGCCCTCACCCCCTGCTCGTAGGTGACCCGCTGGCTGATGAGGTATTGAGCGGCTTGCGTGGCCGCGGGGCTGCCCGTGATGGTGACCCGCCGGTTCCGCGTGCCGGGCAGGAACTCGCCCTTCTTGGAGATCTGGATGCGCGCACCCGTCAGCTCCTGGTACTCCACCAGCGTCTTGCCCCCTTTGCCCAGGATGGCCCCCACCAGGTTCTCGGGCACCGCGATCTCCACCAGCTCCTTGGCGCTCTCGGCCGCCAGCTTTTCGGCCGTCAGGAAGCCGCCGGCAGCCCCGGCCGCAGCCGCGGCGGCCACCAGGGGCGCGCCCCCCGCTCCAGCCGCGCCCCCCGCGCCCGCACCGAGGTAGCCGTTGGCGGCCGCGGCCAGCGCGAAGGAGCCCAGCGCTCCGGGGGGCGGTGGCGGTGGCGGTGCCGCCCCCGCCCCCGGCCCCGCCCCGGCGTCGCCCGCGTAGGACGCCAGGAGGTTAGCTGCGGCGGCGGCGGCGGGGTTGGCGCCCGCGGCCACCGCGGCCAGGACGCCCGAGGCGGCGGCCGAGTTGAGGCCCAGGCTGAGCGAGTTGGTGTTGTAGCCGTAGCTGGCCAGCGTGTTGAGCGCCGTGCTGATGGCCAGCAGGTCGGTGCCCGAGAAGGCGGGCAGCGCGGCGGGGAAGGCGCCCACGCCCGCCAACCCCGCCGGGCCAAGCAGACCCGAGGCGGCGGCGGCAGAGGCGGCGGCCGCGGCGGGCAGCACGTCGGCCGGGCTGGCGTAGGGCGAGCCGGTGGGGTTGGAGTTGGCCACGGGCCCCGCCACGTTGGCGTAGCTGATGTTGAGGCAGCTGCTGCTCTGCGGGTCTTCCTGTACCTTCTGCACGATGACGCTCACGGCCTTGTGCACCTGCTCGGGCTCGCCGCTCACGGTCACCACGCGCTCCTGCAGGTTGATGCCCTCGGGCTTCTGCGACAGCTGCACCCAGGCGCCGGACTGTTCCATCACCGCCTTCACGGTCGCTCCCCCCTTACCGATGATCAGTCCCGCCGTGCTGTTGGGGACGATGAGCTTGGCCTGCGTAGAGGAGAGAGAGACAGAGTCTGCGCCGGGGAGAACGTGGCGCGCAGCCGTCTCAGATCAGTTCTGGGTTGTTTGTTTTGTCTTTCCTCCAGTGTCCATCATCAGGCCCACCGCGGTCCCCTGATAAGCCAGGACAGCCCTACTGGTTCCTAAAGGAAAATTTGGAAATATCTGGCGGGGTGTAGTGCTGTATGCCTGTAATCCCAGCACTCCAGGGGGTGGAGGCAGGAGGATGTCAGGTTTGAGGTCAGCCTGAGCTATATATACATAAGCAAGACCCCATCTCAGGGGAAAACAGGAAAAAAAAAATCCGGATCTTAGCAGTCCCCCAGCCACCCTGGCCCATGTTCCTGGGACCTCAAACGCTGCCTCTTCCGTGGCAGGTAAAGTGGGAGCCCATCTCGCGCCTGCTCCAAGCCTGTGCCACCCCTCCCAACTTCTGTCCTTGTGAGCTCTGGCTCCTAGTCTCCCCCCAAGGGCTTCGAATCTTATTTACACATTTCTCTCCCTCCCTCTCTCCTTCCCCTTCTTCTCCCCTCCCTCCCCTCCGCTCTCCTCTCCCCTCTGTTAGCCCAGGCTGGCTTGGAACCCATGGTCCTCTGACTCAGCCTCCTGATTTTCCCCTCAAACACTTATGTCAAAATCCACACAGCAGAATCCAACCGGTGCCTCAGAACGGGTTTGTGGTTGGGGGGCACAATTTTGGTGTGGTTTTGAATGTCTGTAGTTCTAGCACACACAGGATGCTGAAACATGAGGGTCGTAAGTTCAAGAACAGCCTGGGCAACGGTGAGTTCGGGCGAGCCTGGCCTACACTGCGAGACTTTAAAAACACAACACAACAGCAACAACAGAACCAAACAAACCCCCAAACCGCTCCGTGACTGTAGCTGTATTGCCTTCTGGAATCAGGGTGTGAACTGTGATATCATTTCTTCCACTGTGGCCCCACCTGAAGAGTTACATGTTAAAATTCACCTCATTTACAACAAATTGCCTGCCTTTTATCTCTCTTGTATTTAGTTTTCGTCCCCATTTTTATTTTGTTTTGAGTCAGAGTCTTACTAATGTCTTTGGACCAGGCTGGCTTTGAACTCAGAGAGATCTGTCTGCTTCTGCCACTCCGGTGCTGGGATGTCAATTACGAACTATATCCATCTCTTCTATAGTTTGTGTGTGTGTGTGTGTGTGTGTGTGTGTGTATGCGCGCGCGTGCGCGTGTGTAGGTCAGGGGGCGCTCACATCACTGTATCCACCCTTCTTTGTGGGTTTCCCAGTGAGAGCTCAGGCTGTGAGACTTGTAGGACCAAGTGCTTTGACCCGCCGAGCCCTCTCCCTGGCCTGGTCTTCTGTGTTTAAAAACGATGCACAAGAACAATAAAATGTGAGGTGCATCCACGTAACGGAATGGTATTTGGGCGTAAACACGAAGAGCTGGCACAGTTCGTGCTGGTAACATGGCTGCCCTTAGAAAACAAGCTGAGTGGAAGAGGCCAGACATCAAAGGTCACATGGTTTCCTCTACATGACTGTCCAGAATATGCAAATCCACATGGACAGAAACTGGGTAGGGAGCTGGAGAGACGGCCCAGGGTTAAGAGCACTTGTTGCTCCTTCAGAAGACTCAAGTTTGGTTCCCACATCCAGTGGCTCATAACTGCCTATAACTCCAGGCCCAGGGGATCCAACACCTCTGGCCTCCACAGGCACCTGCATTCATGTGCACATACCCGTATGCAGACACACAGACGTACATGTAATCAAAAAATAATAAAAAATAAAATATTTTTTTTTTTTGTTTTGAGACAGGGTCTCACTATAGCTCTGGCTGTCCTGGGACTCACTATGTAGATCAGGCTGGACTTGAACTCCACAGAGATCTGCCTGCCTCTGCCTCCTGAGTGCTGGGATCAAAGGCATGTGCCGCTGCACCCGGTTATAAAAATGGATCTTTATAAAAGATTTATTTTTATTTTATGTGTGTGAGTGTTTTGCCTGCATGTATGCATGCGTAGGATCCTGTCTCCAGAAGCCAGTAAAGGACAGCAGATCCCTGGGAACTGGAGTTATAGGCAGTTGTTGGATGCCAAGTGGGTGCTAGGAATTGAACCCAGGTCCTCTAGCAGAGAGACAAGAGCTCTTACCAGCTGAGCCAGTGCTCCGGCTCCAAGGACCTGAGTTTGAATCCCCGGCACCTATGTGAAACGCCAGACACGGCTGTGCGTGCTGTAAATCCCAGCACTGGGGACAGACGGGTAGACCCCAAGAGCTTATTAAGCGAGTCTTCCCGTCCAGCGCGCTTCTAGTTTTGGAAATAGACACTCAAGGGTCTCTTGAGGCAGACAGCAATGGAGGAAGACGCCCAACCGTCTGCTATGGCCTTAGCATGTCCCTCAGCCCACATGCAACATAAAGGAAAATACGTTAGTGGGTGTTGGAGGTAGGAGACAGGGCCCGGGGTGACAGCTACAGGGACAGTAGAGATCTTCTGGGATTCGATGGTGGCTCTGGTGAGCCACATATTTTTATACTTAAAAATATATCTATTTTTATGATTTTATATGTATGGGTGTTTTGCCTTCATGTATGGATGTGTACCACGTGTGTACCCTGGTGCCTGCAGAGGCCAGAAGAAGGTATCAGAGCCCCTGGGACTGGAGTTACAGATGGCTGTGAACAGCCATGTGGGTGCTGGGAATCCAACCTGGATCCTCTGGAAGAGCAGCCAGTGCTCTGAACTGCTCAGCCATCTCCCCAGCCCCCTCGGTTTGTTTTGTTTTTAAGACATGGTTTCACGTAGCCCAGGCTGGCCTGGAACTCACTATGTAGCTGAGGACGGTCTTGGGTTTCTGATCCTCCTGCCTCCACTTCCTGAGTTCTGGGAATGCAGGCTTACATCACCACACCCTGCTTGATTTTACATTCTATGACTGTATTTCTACCGAGTGTCCAGAACAGGAAAATCTGTAGACACAGAAAGCAGATTAGTGGTGGCTTAGAGAGAAGGAAAGAGTTATCGGGGGGAGGAGACTGAGGGGTGACAGCCAAGCCGATCAAGCATTCTTTGGCGAGTTGGTGAGATGGCTCCATGAATAAAGGCGCTTGCCACCAAGCCTGAGGACCTGGGTTCGATCCCTGGGACCCACATGGTGGAAGGAGAGAACCAATGATTATAGAACACACCTACTCTTTCACCCAATAAATGAGTAAGTGTAGAAAAATGTTTTGAAGGATTTCTTTTGGAAGCTAGCCGTGATGGCACATGGCTGTAATCCTAACATTCAGGGACTTCAGTGGTAGGATCAAGGGTAGCCTGGGCTACATAGTGAAACCTCATCTCAAAACAAAACAAAACAAAGCAAAATTAAACAAGTACAAACAAAAATTTAGCCAGATGAAACAAATACAATTTTAACTGGACATGATGACACATACCTTTATAATCCCAGTACTTGGGAGGCAGAGGAAAGTGGGTCAACATGAGTTCAAGGCCACCCTGATCTACATAGTGATAACCTGTCTTTAAAGAATTTTTTTGTTGCCGGACACGCCTTTAATCCCAGCACTCGGGAGGCAGAGGCAGGCGGATCTCTGTGAGTTCGAGGCCAGCCTGGTCTACAAAACCAGTTCCAGGAAAGGCACGAAGCTACACAGAGAAACTCTGTCTCGAAAAACCAAAAAAGAAAAAAAAACCAAAGAATTTTTTGTTTTAAAAGATTAACTTGGGAGGTGATAAAGTGTTCTAAAATTAACTGGTGGTGGATGCACATCTCTATGTACATACTGAGTCTTTGAGCTGCACACTTCCCTGTTTTGCCTGATAGTGGGCATTCAACCGAGGGTTTCACATGTGCTAGGCAGGTGCTCCACCACTGAACTCCTTTTTACTTTTTTGAGATGGAGTCTCCCTCAGTTGCTTGAACACCCTATGTAGACAGTCCTACTCTCCTGCCTCAGGTTCCTGAGTAACAGGCATTAGAGGCGTGGGCCACCAGCCCTGGCTGACTCCATACTTAAGCAAATGGTTAGTATGCAAACTGTGTTTGATGTTTCCTGGTTAGCCAGATGCTAGAGTCATCTGGGAAGAGAGAACCTCAGTTGGAAAAATGCCTCTGGCAGACTGGCCTGTAGGCAAGCCTGGTTGATGTGGGGAGGCCCAGCCCACTGTGGGCGGTGCCACCCCTGGGTTAAGGAAGCCATGGTGAGCAAAGCCAGCAAGTAGCATTCCTCCATGGTTTCTGCTTTAGTTCCCCCTGCCAAATTCGTGCCTTGGCTTCCTCTGATGGTGGACTGCCACCTTATGCCAAATAAACCTTTCCTTCCCCAAATTGTTTCTGGCCAGTGTTTTATCTCAGCAATAGAATCCCGAGTAAAACACAATGAAACTGCTAAGTCATTTAAAAATGCATTTCAACCTTTTATAAGGTTTTCTGTTTTCTGTGTGCCATGGGGCGGGGACCAGAGGGGACAATTTGCGACAATTTGCGGGAGTCAGTTGTCTCCTTCCACGATTGTTCTGGGGATCCAACTCAGGTGGGCAGGCGTGGCAGCAAGAGCCTTTACCAGCTGAGCCATCTCGCCAACCTGAACTGGCTAAATGTTATACAGCTACTATGTATCTACATTTCAAAAGACTAGAAGGAAAGACTTAGAACATTTTCTTCACAGTGACTGTGAAGAAAAGAAAGCCAGGCATAATATTCCATACTTGTAATCCTAGTACTGAGGCAGGAGGATAACTGAGAGTTACGGGCCAGCCTGGGCTACGTAGTGAGTTACAGGCTAGTCTACGATACAGAGTGAGTCGCTACCTCAAAACAAAAACAGCAGCAGAAACAAGAACAGCAGCAAAAGGAAACAAGGAAACAAACAAGGAAAATCCCAGGAAGATGGCAGCTGCCTTCAGGACAAGCTCTGAATTATAGCACCAAAGAATTCGACATTCGTAGGTGCAGACTCACAGAGTCCCGAAACAAGTACTCGAGGAGGCAAAGCTGGGCCAGTGAGATGATCCCACGGGAAAGGGTGCTTGTTGCCAAGCCTGACAACCCGAGTTAGATCTCCAAAACCCACGAGAGAGAGAGAGAGAAACTCACACCCTCAAATTGTCTCCTGACCTCCACATCGTGGCCATAACAACATGAACATGCATGTACACAATATATATTTTTTTTTTTTTGGTGTGTTGAGACAGACTTTCTCTGTGTAGTTCTGGTACCTGTCCTGGAACTCACTCTGAAGCACAGGCTGGCCTTGAACTCACAGAGATCCACCTGGCTCTGCCTCTGGAGTGCTGGGGTTAAAGGCGTGCATCACTGCTGCCCGGCCACTTTTTTTTTTATTTTTTTGTCTCTTTTTTCTTTTTCTTTTTTCATGCACACAATAAATGTGAAAAGAAATTTAAAAAGGAGAGATACCGCCCCCCCCCCCCCCCCCCCCCCCCCCCCCCCCCCCCGCAAAGTACCAAATCTCGGAATAAGAATGTATACTCAGAAAAGGATTTTTTTTTTTTTTTTTTTTTTAATTTCAGAGTCAGAGGACTTACTAGAGATCCTCTTGCCTCAGCCTCTGGGGTGCTGAGATGACAGGTGTGTACCTGATGATGTGCCTAGAATCTTGGAATCACAGAGCATAGCCCTTGGAGGCAGGTTGAGAGGCCAGAGGAACACCTGTTATCTGCCTTTGGGATTTACAAGCTCATGGAAAATTCCGAACAGGACTTCCAAGGACAGATGCCCTGACAGTGGCAGCCAGCACTTGCCAGGGATTTTCGTCAAAGTTCTGTATGGCAGCTGAGCATAGTGGCTTATGCCTGTAACCCAGCACTTTCAAAGCTAAGATGGGAAGACCCGCCCTGAGTTTGAGGCCACCTTGAGCTACATAGGGGATTCTAGGCCAGCCTGGGCTACAGAGTGAGGCCTTGAGTCAAAATAAAAAAGTAATAAAGGGCTGGAGAGATGGCTTAGAGGTTAAGCGCACCGACTGCTCTTCCAGAGGTTCTGAGTTCAATTCCCAGCAACCACATGGTGGCTCACAACTATCTGTAATGAGATCTGGTGCCCTGTTCTGTATACATAATAAATAATAAATCTTTTTAAAAAAAGTAATAAAAATAAATAAAAATATTAAACTAAGAAAGGGATCAACCTTTGAAAGCCAGCAGCTGCTGGAGAATCATGGCTTCTTTTGAGACGTCTCCAAAATGTGGAAATAGTTTGTGCTCCCCAATGAGAAGAATTGGGGGTGGCTGGTCATGGGCTATTCTGTCCCTGTTAAGATGGCTTGCCCTTCAGAGGGACACAGCCCTGAATGCTTCTTAGTCCCTTCCTGAATCTTGAAAACATTTGAATGTACAGTCCTGGTTGGATGTGGCTGCTGGGCCACAGCAGAAGAGAAGCCGAGGCCCGCAGAAAGGAAGGCAAACAGGTCCGACACAAGTCCAGCGTGGAAAAGAGCTGGGTGGCAGTCCTGATTAAGGCAAGTCCTGTAGCAGGAGTCAGTGGGTTACAGTGCTTGCTTCACTAGGCCTGACTGCTTGAGTGGCGACCCTGGAACCCACGTGGTGGAAGGAGAAAACCGACTCCCACAGATTGCGCGCGCACACACACACACACACACACACACACACACACACACACTCACACACACACACTAAATGGGAGGAAATGCTGTAACAGTGCTGAGGCTGTAGATCAGCTGGTAGATTTTGTGCTTAACATGCACAAAGCTCTGGGCTGAATTTCCAGCACCATAGAGATAGGATTTGGGGGTGCACATCTGTAAGCCCAGCACTCAGGAGGTAGGTGGTGGTAGCATTGGCTACCTAGTGAATCTGAGGCCAACCGTAATTAAAACAAAAAGCCCTATGTCCAAAAAAAATAGGTTTCTGAGATGACTCAGTGGATTGAAACTTCCAGGATGGAGTTCAAATCCCCAGCAGCACCTTTGTAAAAACCAGGCAGGTGTGGGGGCTGTACATAGTCACAGAACTCAGGAGGCAGAGACTGGGCATCCTCGGAGCCTGCTGGCTAGTGAGACTGGCCGATTCAGCAACAGACCCCCGCCTCCATAAATAAGGTGGAGAAAGACTGAGGAAGACACCTGACACACACACACCCCATACACATATGCACACGTGTGTGCACCCATGCACACGCAAACACTCATATACACAAGCACACCACACACACATGCCAAAAAGAAAAAAGGGAAAGAAAGCCACATATGGTGGCTCAGGCCTCTAATGCTAGCACACGGAAGCCTGAGGCAGGCAGATCACTGTGAGTTCAAGGCCAGTGTCAGCCACAGTATGAGCCCTGTCTCAAAACCAAGTCCAGAACAGCTACCATTTTGTTTTTGAAGGGGAGAGAAGAGTCTTTCTATGCAGCCCAAGATATCCTGAACTCTCTCCATCCTCTTGCCTCCACCACCCCAATGCCAGATTATAATGTACCACCCTGCCCAGGGCATTTTGTTTGAACTGTCTATGTACTAGGCATCCACGCTAAATGCTTTTCAAACACCGATGTGCTATCCACCATTCACAAATCTATCTATACCATAATAAATCTCATTTTACAGATGAGAATAACCAGGCAAGGAGCAGTCACAATCTTGTCATCTGCTCAGGGCCACAAAAGTAGTAGGGAAGAGGACTCAACTCAAATGTGACTCCACAGCCTGAGCCTCCAGCCATGGGCTCTCTCATTTTTTGAAGCCTCGGAATGATACGGAAGGATCGATCCTGGTTCTGAAACCTTTCGTGACTGACTGTCCTGTGTGAGTGTAAGGCCTATATGGTACGGATCCCATTTCCCACGCAACATCCAGAAACACTCGATGACTCCCCACTCCCTTGTGGCCACCACCAAAGCGGAGGGAAGGGGCCCTGTCCTGTCTCTCTAAGCTGCGTGGAATCCACGCCCTGCCGGGTGGGAAGGCATTTTGGAAGGACCTGGCTGGGCGTTAGGAGCCCAGCCTCTTCAGCACCAAGGACAGCAGCCTCGCGCGCCAAAGCCTCAAGCCCGCAACGTTTTGTTTGGGTGGGTAGCGGGCACCAGGAACGTGTTCCTCCAGGGCTTTCCGCCCACCGTGTCCCCAGGATTTAGGAGAATTCAGATTTATGGTCTCCTCAATGCCAAGGCTGAAGAATCCCAGCACCTTAAAACCAAGCCTTTGCTGTCTAGATGGACTTGGAGGCGCTCTCGCAAGCGCCCTCCCCGTTAGCCGGCGCAAGGGCTTTTCTCCTTTGTGTCAAGAGTTCATGTATACGGGAGTGAAGAGAAAACCCGGGGCGCTTGTGTCCATCCCTGCGTTCCTCTTCTCATCCCCATCCTCCCACCGGGTCAGGTCCTCAAAAACAAAAAAAAAAACCAAACCCAAACAAAAAACCCAAGACTGCAAATCAGGGACTTTCCGAAGGGCCCACCTGGCCCAGGCGCAACATCGTCATGGCAACCGGAGAGGCTCAGGAACCCATTGGTCCGCTCTCTGCCACACCCCTTCCACCACCGCTTCCTGGTAACCAAGGCAACTGAGAGGCTGCCTTTTCTTCTCCATCCTTTCTAGATAGGGTTGGGTAGGGTGGGGACCGGCCCCTCTCTTCCGCTAAAGCAAAGCACGATATCCCCATAATGGGTATTAGGGAGGAGGAGGGAGATAAAGAGGCTGCTTCTAAAATTCTGGAGGGGTTGGGCTGTCACTGAAGTCACTTCCGGTGAACACAGGAAGTAGGAGGCAGGTTCCTTTGAGAGACAAGGGTGGAAAGGAAAGGAGCCGAGTGTCTCCGGAAGGATGGATGAATGGGAGTGCCAGCCTCGATCTCCAATCCCTCTGAATCCAGCCCGCTCCCAGCAGTATGGAGCCCTTTCTAGACTGTTAGAGCTGACTTCCGAGTATTAACCACTAGCAGGCAGGCATTTGACAAACATACCGCATCTTTAACAGAACCCACTGTCCTTTCCCAGCTGACCTGCTTGGCTCTGTCGGGGTTCATCGTGGTTTGGGGTTGAAGAATGTTGACCACCTCGGGCTTGGTCATCGCTTGAGGGATTTCTCGGACCTTCTCTGCGATAAAGCTGTGAACGGCATTCAAGGCCTCTGCCGTGCCCTGTACTAGGCATACCCGTTCTGTAGTTCCTGTTAAGCAAGGGGCAGAGGAGGGCACACATATGAGACAGCAATGGAGACGTTCCTGACAGACTGGGCCCATTTTCATGGAAAGGGTCTGGGGAGTGAGTCTGGGCCAGCTGATGTGGTGACTGGTTCATGGTGGGTAGCTAGCTGAGAGAATGAATGGAATCCCTGTTTTATAATCTGTACTTTATCTCCCTCCCCTAAAACAACCCCGTGGGGATGGGAGAATGATGCTTAAGTGCCCACAGCAGTCCTGGGCACGGGAGGTAGGGCTCAGCTGCCTCTTCCCAGTTCTTGTGGGCGCCCCTTGGTTGCTGTGGCAACCATTCACTCGCCACTCACCCCCCCCCTTCCAGAAGGGGAGAGCTTAGGCCCGAAACGGTTGCCACAGTAACTGGAACCCCCTTATCGGTCTGGCTGGCCGGGTCCCTCAGCCCACCCCCAGGGGGATGAAGGATGAGGCTCGGTTGCCATAGCAACTGCTGAAAGCCTACAGCGCCTGGCCTCTGGGCTTTTGGAGAGGATGGGGAGAAGATGGGGGATGGGGGAGGCAGAAGAGAGGCCAGAGTGCAGCCTAGACCCACCAGATGGAGGTCTGGGGGGTGGGGGAGGGCAAGGGGTGTGCTTAGGGGATGAGCAGGCGAGGTCAAAGGCAACTTTTAGAGACTGGGAACAGAGAGACTGGGAATAGAGGACAGGGTAGCCAGCTTGCCTGTCTGGAGATCCTCCAGGTATTGGCTGCAAGTCTGACCTGGTATTCTCTGTATGTGCGTACTGGGGAAGGGGAGGAGAGGGAGAAGCTGGGCGCTGCTGAAATGTACGCACGGAGGAGAAAGACTCTAGGTGACACTGCGATCCGTGTGTGCACCTGAGGCTGCCTGTAGGGAGCTATGTGAATATCTGTATACTTGGGCAGGGTTGGAAAGAGGACCATACTGGGTGTGTGTCTAAGCAAAAGACCAGAAGAGATTGCAACAGAAACATACTGTGTGCTGAGGACACGGTTTAGCAGTAGAACATCTGTCTAGAATTCCCCTAGTGAGGGGCTGGGGTGTGGCTCAGTGGTAGAGCACCTGCCTAGAATCCCCCCAGTGAGGGGCTGGGGGGTGTGGCTCAGTGGTAGAGCCCCTGCCTAGAATCCCCCAATAGGGGTTATGGTTGTAACTCAGCCAGGCACTTGCCTAGAATGCACAAGGTCCTGGATTAAATCCCCAGACACACACACACACACACACACACACGGCCCAAAACAGGTAATATAACAGAATGACTGGAGTAACAAGGTTTGGAGCCCGAAGACTTTGGCACATAAGCAACAGAGGCTGTGCAATGACCCGTCCATGTCCTGTGCCTGCAACTGTGGGAGCCAGACAAAAGGATAGGGCACACCTCTAGGTGTTCCCAAGCTATCTGGGTGGTGAGCATGTGGTGTGAGAATATTTGTGTACACACACACACACACACACACACACACACACACACACACGGGGGTCAGTCACCAGCCTTTTATTGGCTGTGTGAATGTGAGGACACCGGCAGACTTAAGCGACTGTATGAGGCTGTCTGGTTGGCAGGTGTACTGGTTGGTATATGTGCACATTTCCAAGTGTGTGCACGGCGGAGAAACAAAGAATCCTCAACCGCGCCTGACCTGTGTGAGAATATGAGTGAGTTGGTGTGCCTGGGCCTCTCTGATGTGATGTGTGGACGTCTCCGTCCCCAGGAGGGACTCAGCTTGTACCGCCAGCTCCCTGGGTCTGCAAAAGGTTTTGGATATGTGCCAGGCCCTGTGCCTGTGTGTCTGGGACACTTAGTGCTGAGTGTCATTGTCTGTGGAGCACTTCAGTGCGGCGTACTCGGTGTCCAGCCCTGACCCGTCCGTCCCTTGCTATCTCTCAGCCTGGCCCGTCAAACCCGCCATGTGCCTGGGGTGTCCCTGTCCGCTGGCCATTCGGGATGCTGAAAACCCCTACCCTTGCCCTTGGCAACGTGATCCTCACTTTTATGTCCCCTTCACCCAAGAACAATAGCTTGGTGTGGGCCAAGGGTGAGTCAGCTGCAGGCTGACTCTGTCTGGGTGTAAATAGGAAAGGGTGTGGGTTGGGCTGGGAATGAGGGTGGGGATGGGGGATGGAGGTGGGGTGGGGGGAACCCCAGGGATAGTGTGGGAGACGTGGCCAGGGTCGCCATCTTCCAACTCAGGAAGTCTGTGTGCATCCGCCCCTGCGCAGTTCTTACCCTGGGGTCCACAAGAGTTTGGTAAGGGAGACCCTGTTAAGTCCCGAAAAAAAGTGTCCTATAATAACAGTTGGTGGTTACATAACACTGAGCGCCAGGCCCTGTTCTGAGGACTTGGTGTTTGTTCACTTGGCATATGAGGCAGGGCCATGTCTTGGTTGCCTTGATGTCCTGTTAAGGACACACAGAGGACTCTGGTCTTGTCCTAGATCACCCAGGCGGTACAGAATCATCAGAGCTTGTGTGTGTGTGTGTGTGTGTGTGTGTGTGTGTGTGTGTGTGTGTGTGTGTGCACGCGTGTGCGTGTGCCTGTGTGTGTGCGCGTGTGCCTGTGTGTGTGTGTGCGTGCCTGTGTGTGTGTGTCTGTGTGTGCGGTTCAGGGGATAGATAACCTCAGGTATTGGTCCTCACCTTTCACTTTATTTGAGATAGGGTGTCCTGCTCCCCACTGTGTAGTAGGCCACACTAACTCTCCTACAAGCATTTGCAGATTCTCCTGTCTCTGCCTCACATGTAGTCGTAGAGACACAGGGATTAGACATGCCCCTCCGCACCCTACCTTCCCCAGGTCCTAGGATTGGAACCCAGGGACCCATATTCGCACGGCCAGTGCAGCTCAGTTGATTCCCCGGGTCCGCCATCAGGCATTCTCAACACAGGTGTCTTTTTTTTTTTTTTCCCAGCTTTGAGGCAATGTCTTTCTTTGTAGCCCAGATTGGTCTTGAGCCTGCCATCCTCCTGCCTCAGCTTACCAATTACTGAGGTGTCACATCTATGCCACCATACCTCGTGTAGTAGGTTCTGTACTCTTAATCCTAATCCAGCCAGTGCTAAACTTGAGAGTCTTTGAGTTGTCTTCCTGTTCCAACCTCCTACAGATGAACACTACCATGCCTGGTGTGTGTGTGCGTGTGTGTGTGTGTGTGTGTGTGTGTGTGTATGTGTTTGTGTGTGTGTGCACACGTGAGAATGAGCAACAAGGGGGGCATACACAACAGAAGCTTTGCTTTTACTTTTTGTTTAGAAAAGTCTTAGTGTTTTGTTTAGATGTGTGTGTGTGTGTGTACTAGAAGAGAGTGCCATATCCCCTGGAACTGAAGTTATAGGTAGATGTTTGTGAGCTGCTTGATGTGAGTGCTGGTCCTCTGAAGGAGCAGCAAGTGCTCTTAACTGCTGAGCCATCTCTCCACCCGGAAGCTTTCCTTTTAAATGATTTATTCATTTTCATTCTGTGTGTGTGAGGGCTGGCTAGCCGGCATGTATGTTTGCTCCTGCAGTGCTCATGGAGGCCAGAAGAGGGCGGCAGATCCAAGGGCATTGGAGTCACAGATGGCTGTGAGCCACCATGTGGGGTGCCGGGAACTGAACCTGGTTCCTCTGGAGAAACAGTCAGTGCTCTTCACCACTCAGCCATCTCTCCAGCTTTGAAGCTATGTTTTTAATGTTAAGGAAGAATATGAATGTCGTCCTTTACTAGATACTTCAGATCTTACGCTTTGGGGCTGGAGATGTGGCTCAGTGATAAGGGACCTGCCTGGCAATCCTGAGGCCCTGGGTTCAATTCTTGGCACTGAAAAAAGAAAAGGAAAAATAAAAGAGAAAGAAAAAACTTTAGCATTGTACATTTATAGCCTGGTGATGGACACCTTTGCCTACAATCTCAGCACTCAGGAGGCAGAGGCAGGTGGATTTCTGTGAGTTCCAGGCCAGCTTGGTCTTCAAAGCGAGTTCCAGGACAGTCAGGGCTACAAAGGGAAATTCTGTCTCAAGAAACCAATAAAAAAATAAATAAACAAACAAACGCACAGATAAATAAATAAAGAAATAAATAAGTGGAAAAGAAAAAGATTTTATACTTTGGTGCAGCTACATTATAAATCAATAATAATTATGAGGATCGCTACATTCGTATTTGTGCTTTGCTCTTGGGAGTCAGGTTCAGGGCTTTTTACAGACACCCCAACTCTGAAGGTGTTTAAGCTTGATGAGGGAAGTGATGTGGTCAGGAGTCTTTGAGGTCTTGGGGTCAGTATGTATTGCCTTCCGGTTCTCCATTTCATCATGAAAGACCCCAAAGGATTGAACCTGAACTTCTGGGCTCCATTACCAAGATGAGGTACCTTTTGTGTGTTCTGTTCCCTTCTCTTTGGGGTTAAAGGCTGGGTAGGCTTAGCTTTGTGAAGCAGACAAGTGTGTGTGTGTGTGTGTGTGTGTGTGTGTGTGTGTGTGTGTGTGTGAAAATCTTAGTCCCACACTGGCTTTTTGGATTTTGTTATTGGAGATTGAGCCCCTGCAGGATCTTCATATGCTAGGCAGGTACTCTACCACTGAGCCACACCCCCAGTCCCTCACTGGGGAATTCTAGGCAGGGGTTCTACCACTGAGCCACACCCCCAGTCCCTCACTGGGGAATTCTAGGCAGGGGTTCTACCACTGAGCCAAACCCTCAGCCCCTCACTGGGGGATTCTAGGCAGGGGCTCTACCACTGAGCCACACCCCCAGCCCCTCACTGGGGATTCTAGGCAGGGGCTCTACCACTGAGCCACACCCCAGCCCCTCACTGGGGATTCTAGGCAGGGGCTCTACCACTGAGCCACACCCCAGCCCCTCACTGGGGGATTCTAGGCAGGGGCTCTGCCACTGACCCACACCCCAGCCCCTCCCTGGGGGATTCTAGACAGGGGCTCTCCCACTGAGCCATACCCCCAGCTCTTCACTGGTGGATTCAGGCAGGCTCTCTGGCCCTACACCATGTCCTAGCCTTCTCTTTATAAACTTCGACACAGGGTCTTGCTAAATTAGCAGGGCAGGTCTTGAACCTGTGATCCTCCTATTCCATCCTTCTGAGTGGTTGGGAGCACTGACCCATGCCATCATGCCTAGCCTAATTTTACACTGTCACATAGTTTCTCTGCTGTCATTTCTCTCCTGCTTCCACATGTCAGCCTCACCTTACAGCAAACCATCTCCCAGCTTGTGGCGCTGGTGGGGTCCCTTCTGTACCCCTTCCCTGGCTCATCTGAAGTCACTGTTGTAGGCTACTCCTCCTGGCAGCCCTCTCTGCCCTCCCTGGTCTGGTTCAAAGACTCTGTCTCAGCGCCACACTTTCTGTGACCTTCCCAGTCTATCCCTGGCCACTCTGGGTCATCATCGGTGAGGGCTCTGTCTCCCTGGCTCCAGATCCAAGAAAACTAGGTTAGACTTCTCTTTTTTTCTTTTTTTTTTTTTTTTTTGGTTTTTTCAAGACAGGGTTTCTCTGTGTAGCTTTGCGCCTTTCCTGGAATTCGCTTTGGAGACCAGGCTGGCCTCGAACTCACAGAGATCCACCTGCCTCTGCCTCCCGAGTGCTGGGATTAAAGGCGTGCGCCACCACCGCCCGGCCGTGCGCCACCACCGCCCGGCTAGGTTAGACTTCTCTTATTGCTGTGTCCACATGTCTGTCCAGCCAGGGACATAGAGAAGGAGAATGTGTGTTAAATGACTGAATGAAAGCCTGTCAGTCAGGAGACCAAGGGAATGCACCCTCGGACTCATGCAGAAGTGATGATAGTTCTGTGTTCTGGGTCCCTAGGTATGGAGGTGGGGTGGGGTTAGGAGGAGCCAGCCTTGCTGTGAGTCCTGGATGGTTCAGGTCAAGAGTTGGTTGTCTGTCTATGAGATGGGGACAGACGTGACTCACATTGGTTTGTTCATGGACAAAGTATGTGGTATAGGAGCGTCACGGACTGTCCTGTCTCTTGGGGTGTCTCAGCAGCCTGGCTCTGGGGTGAAGCACCAAGTCGGGAGGAGGGAATGTCGCCATCTCATAGCACAGAATGTGATGCAGAGGCAAGGAGCCAAGTGTCCTCAGACAGATGTCCCAGGCAGAGAGGTCTCACCCACATGGTGTGGGCTAGAAGGGTAAGGAGACACTGGGCCAGGATGGTGGAGGAAAGGAGGCAGGGCGGCCAGGCCACTAGATTTTTCTCTAAACTCTTGGTCAAAGCAGCTTAGTGAGATGAAAGGCAGGGAGGGAAGGGAGGAGGGCAGAGAAAGGGGGAAGAGGGAGGAGACAGCGAGGGGGGGGAGAGGGAAAAATGGAAGAGAGGGAGGCGGGGAGAGGGGAAGAGAGGGAGGATGGGAGGAAATGGAAGGAGAAGGGAGGAATGATGGGGGAAGAGGAGAGAGGATAGAGAGAAAGGATGAACCTGAGAAGAGAGAGAGGGAGGAAGGAAGAAGGAGTGGAGAGGAGGAGAAGGAGGGAGAGGGAGGATTGGAGAGAGAGAGGGAAGAAGGGAGGGAGGGGAACAGAGAGAGGGGGGGGAGAGAGAGGAGAGAGATCCAGAAGGAATGAGAGAGAGAGAGAGAGAGAGAGAGAGAGAGAGAGAGAGAGAGAGAGAGAGATCCAGACCCTGTGCTATATCTCTGGTGTCTGACCTAAAAAGATCCAAGAGGATTACAAATGAACTAGAACCAGCAGCATGCTAGTGCAGTTCTGGGCCTTCCTGGGATTCCTGCGGCCAAAGCTCAGGCTCTGCTCTTGGGAGGGGGCAAAGGAGAGTGAGAGACCTTGAAGGGTCTTAGGGAGGGTAGAGGGTAGAGGGTTGGGGGCTAGGGATGCAGCTCAGTGGTAGAGCGAGCGCCTCGCATACAGGGAGCCCTGGGTTTGATCCCCAGCACTGCATAAATTTCACACAATGGCAGTGGAGCCTGTAATCCTAGCCTGTTGGGTGTGGAAGCATGAGGACCAGGAGTTCAAGGTCATCCTTGGCTATGTGGTATGTATGAGATGAGACTGTGCTTCATAGAACCTTATCAAAAACAAAACAAAACAAAACAAAAACAACGTGGTTAAGGTAGACCAAGATGGAGCCTAAGAAGAGGCAGGGAATGGGCTGGGCTGAAATCAGTGAAGAAAAGAACAGTCACAGGAAGCCGAGACTTGGTAGGATAGACACCTAAAGGGCGGCAGAGACACGTGAACAGAGGCAGGAACCAAGGAGGATTGACCCCACTGAGGGTCGCTGTTAAGTTGGGTCAAATGAAGTTCTGAGGCGGGTGGGAAGGGAAACAGAGAGATGGGAGGCCAGAAAGGTATGGCAGACAGAAGGACAGACAGATGGACCAGATAAGAACCTCAGAGGACAGGAGACGGGGATACGCAGACAGATCCCTAGAGACAAGAACCGAGAGGGGCAGAAGGGCACAGAAGAAGGGATGGCAGAAGCAGCTGTGTGAGGAGCATCAGGCAGGGCACGGTGGTGGTGATCCCCGCGCTGGGAGGCAGGGAAAGGACTGGAAGCTACAGGCCAGACGCGCTACAGGGTGAGATAGTCTCTCTTTCAAAATGCCCCCAAGAAAACAAACCGCATACGGGGCGCACATGATTTCAAGGTCACTCTTGACTACCTAAGGAAGTTCCAGGCCAGCCTGGGCTACGTGAAGCACTATCTCAATGAAAAAAAAAAAAAGAAAGAAAAGAAAAAACAAAAATAAAAAAGTGCCCCCTCTCCAAAACAACTCAGAGGAGAGTAAATTGGATGCAAGTTAGGGTAACAAGTCCAAATGGACAGAGGGGTATGAGTAATTGGGATGGCTGCCCCTACCCAGCCATGACACCTGCCACCCTCCCCACCCTGGCTGCTCCAACTGACCGGGAGGCGGCAGGTGTGTGGGAAGGGATACAACTGCCTGGCTTAATGCAAATGAGGTCATGAATATGCAGCAGCTCATTGTCTGGCCCTGCCCCCACCCCCATCTGCTCAGGCCAGGCCCCTTGGGTTGCAGGCAGCTCAGACTCTTTTCTGGGGAGGGAAGGCAGGCCCCCTCCATTACTCCAACCGTCTCTAATGCAGCCTTCCTCACACTCAGGGCCCAGGAAAAGTGGAGAGAAGAGAGTGAGGTCTAGCTCAGGCACCTGGCGGGTCTGGGGCTTACCTGGGTAGAAGTCTTTGGACTTAGATAGCTTGATGGTAGCTCCCGTCTCCTTCTGCAGCTGCACGATAGTCTGGCCACCTTTGCCGATGATGGAGCCGGCTGCGTAACTGGGGATGAGCACCTTCAGGAAGTACTCGCCTTCCTCTGCAGGGCACACAGGGTGGGAGGGAGTGAGCGAGGGAGGGGTCCCACTTTAGGAAGGCACCTCCAGGAAGATGCCAGCATGGGACCCCCCCCCCCCAATCACAGCTTCACACTGTAGTAATGACCATGGCAACAGCAGTTAGAAAGAGAGCACAAAACCAGCTTCCCTCACTCACTCATTCACTCTTTTTTTTTTTTGCAACAAAGTCTCACTATGTAGCCCCTGGCTGGTCTGGCACACGCTATGCAGACCAGGCTGGTCTCGAGTTCACAGAGATCTTCCTGCCTCTGTCTCCCCAGCGCTGGGATTAAAAGTTGTGCACCACCATGCCTGACTTACATTTCATTGATTTTTTTTTTTTTTTTGAGACAGGCTTTCACATAGCCCAGGACGGCCTCAAATTATGTAGTTGTGGATGGCCTTGAATTCCTAATCCTCCTGTCTCCACACCACACCCCAAGTACTGGGATCACGGGAGTGCACCACGATACCTAATTTATGTGGTGCTGGGGATGGAGCTCAGGGCTCCATGCCTGCTGGACCAGCACTCTGTGGACTAAGCCACATCCTCAGGACGCATTCATTCATTCAGCAAACAATGACTGAGCACCTGCCTGGATACATACTTGGCACTAATGTGGGGAAACAGCAAAAGGTTCCCGCACTCTGTGTGCAAATAAGGCCATGAGGATTGGAGTAATCTAAGATAGAGCTCGGACAATTACATTCTTCTAGAGAGGAAAGACTCTGGAGTTCATGCAAGACGGGAGGAAGCGGTATGAGAGCAAAAAGCAGCAGGAAAAGGAATGGGGAGGGCAGAGGAGTGCAAGATCAGATGTGAAGGCCTACCGAAATGCACATCCTTAACACATCACACACTTTCTTGTACTGTTTTAGGGCACTGGGTACTGAACTGAGGGTCTCTTGCAAATACTTTATCACTGAACCACACTGGGGGATTCTAGGCAGGGGCTCTACCACTGAGCCACACCCCAGCCCCTCACTGGGGGATTCTAGGCAGGGGCTCTACCACTGAGCCATACCCCAGCCCCTCACTGGGGGATTCTAGGCAGGGGCTCTACCACTGAGCCACACCCCAGCCCCTCACTGGGGGATTCTAGGCAGGGGCTCTACCACTGAGCTATGTCCCAGTCTCCTTTAAAATTTTTTTTGGGACAGGGTCTCACCAGGTTGCCCAAAGCTGGCTTTCAACTCAATCTGTATCCTAAGCAAGCATTGAACTTGGGGGTTGATTCTCCTGCCTCAGCTTTCAGAGTGTCTGAGATGACAGGCCTCTGGCTACCCGGCCCAGCTCCGAGTAGGCATGTGTATTCATCACTCATGTGCAGCACCCGATAAACCCTCAGTTCCACCCAAAGTACTTTACAAACATCGGCTATTTTAATTTTCACACTGTCCCTGAAAAGAAACCCATTCTACAGATGGAAAAAATAAGGTTAACAAGGAATCCTCCCAGAGTCACTGAGCTGGTAGGATGCAGAGCTGGAATGTGGACTCAGCCTGGTTCTGGAGTCCATGTCCTGGTCTGCTATCACTGAGGGACAGTGGAGGGGACGAGCCGCACGGCAAAAGTGAAGCCTCTGAGAGGATGGCACGTGAGTCCTTAGGAAAACCAACGGGGCGATGGTTGGTGGGAGGGGAAAGGGGAGACGGTGCTGGTGCGGTGGTGAGGCTTGCGGCCACGGTGACATCTGTGGCTCTTACTCCAAGCAGGATGGGAGGATCAAGGGTGTGTGAACTAATTCAAGATTTGAAACATTCCTCCGGGGCCAGCAAGATGGCTCAGTGGTGAGAGGAGCTTGCTGCCAAGCCTGAGGACTTCAGTTCAATACTCAGGACGCACATTGTGGAAGGAGAGAACTGACTCCCGCAAGCTGTCCTCTGGTCTGCAAAAGCATGCCATGGTGTGTGTGCATACATGTGCACACACGCAGAGAGATAAGTAAAAAGCAAATACATTTTTTTGGGAGACAAGTTCTCTCTATTATATAGCCCTGGCTGTCCTGGAACTCACTCTGTAGACCAGGCTCATAGATATCCAACTGTATCTATCTCCTAAGTGCTGGGATTAAAGCGTGTGCCTCCATGCCTGGCTTTAGGCTATGGATACAACAGAGTGCTTGCCTAGCATGCATGAAGCCCTGGGTTCGATCCCCAGCACCATATAAATTGAGTGTGATGGTGCACACCTGTGATCCCGGCACTTGGGAGGCAGAGGCAGGAGTTCAGGGTTATCCTTGGCTACACAGTGAGTTCGAGGCCAGCCTGCGCTATATGAGACCCTATCTTGAAAACAAGACAAAACAAGAATATTCCTCTGATGCCTATGACAGGAACAGATCGTAAGGGCAAAGGAAAAGGAGGCAGGTGTTACAAGAGGTCCCGAGGGGCAGTGGACTGACTTAGGGAGCCGTGACGGGGAAATGGACGGATGAGGGCTGGATTGGAGATTTTCACTTTGTGCACTGTTGGGGGGAATGCATACATGTTTGCAGATATGTTTGCACGTGTGTGGAGACAAGAGATAGGATTCCTTATGGGTTTGTGTGGAGACAAGAGATAGGATTCCTTATGGGTTTGGAACTCGTGCGGGCAAGGCTTACCTTACATAGCCAGAGGACAACCTGGGGGAGTCGGTTCTCTCCTCCCACTGTGCGGAACCCGAGGACTGAACTCAGGTCCTCAGGCTTGACAGCAAGCCTCTTTACCCGAGGAGCCATCTTGCTTTGGTTTTTTTTTTTTTTGAGACAGGGTTTCTCTGTGTAACCCTGGTTGTCCTGGAACTCACTTAGTAGACCAGGCTGGCCTCGAACTCAGAGATCCATCTGCCTCTACCTCCCAAGTGCTGAGATTTAAAGGCGTGCGCCACCACTGACGGGCTCCTGCTAAGCCATCTTGCTGACCTCTGGACATTCATTCTTACAGACCGATGTCCTCGGTAATGCAGCCACGCGTGAAACACCTAGTTAGCGCATCCTTAAGGCAAATCTCTAACCTAACTCTTAACTTCTAAACAAACTGTTAGCCCTCAGTGCTCCCAGGATGAAAATTCTACAGGCGTTTCAGTGGGAGGCCTTTTGTGATATGGCCCTGCTTCTCAGCTTTGCTTCCTCATCGCCCTTGGGGACCAGATTCACTGTCCTTCTATTTCTTCGGATATTACCTGTTCCCTCCCACCTCAAGGCCTTTGCAGATGCTCTCTGCCTGACACTTCCTCTCATTTTGGGGGGCTTCACTGCAATGTTACTTATTCTCCCAACCTTTCCTGCAACACTGAGAACTGAAGGCACCCCCCCCCACACACACACTTTACTTCATACATCCAGAGCAGTTTGTCACATAGGGCCAACATGGACCCCACCCACAGAGCGCACCTCTGTGTCCCTTGCACCATCAACAGCACACAGTAGGCTTGGGATAAAAAGTGGGAAAAGAAAGGGAGTTGGGCCATTCTGCTTCCAAGGCTTAAGGGCTTTACCATTCCCTAGAATTTTTCAACTTTTCCTTTTAAGTATAGGATGCCTATTTTTACCATCAAACACAAAACCCCAAATGGTAGTAGGGTGAGCAAAGCTGCCTCCCAGAGCACATAAAAGAAAACTGTTATTTGTAGTTGGGAGGTGTGGCTCAGTGGTAGAGACCCTGCCTAGAATCCCCCAGTGAGGGGCTGGGGTGTGGATCAGAGGTAGAGCCCCTGCCTAGAATCCCCCAGTGAGAGGCTGGGGGTGTGGCTCAGTGGTAGAGCCCCTGCCTAGAATCCCCCAGTGAGGGGCTGGGAGTGTGGCTCAGTGGTAGAGAACTTGCCTAGAGTGCACCAGTGAGGGGCTGGGGTGTGGCTCAGTGGTAGAGCCCCTGCCTAGAATCCCCCAGTGAGGGGCTGGGGGTGTGGCTCAGTGGTAGAGAACTTGCCTAGAGTGCACCAGTGTGGAGCGTCCACCTACTGTTCCAGGTCCTGAGCTCCACTCCTAGCACTGCACAAACTATAGAAAGCTGACCTGGATGGGGTAGGTGCTAAGTTCTTCCACCTCAGCATGGGTCCTTCAGAGTGAGGGATCTGGGATCCTAATATGTTTTGTATGGTGGTGTGGGGCACAGTGGCTGGACCTGGCCTTCTAAGCATGAGGAGGAAGTCAAGAATAAAAGGGTTTTATTGAGCCCAAGGCAATCCTCTTAAAATGGCCTAATCAGACCATTAAGCCTATTAGGTAATTAACCTCCCCCCTCCCCCAGGGTGCGTTCTCATCCATCATCAGGACCCCTGCTCAATTCACTTTCTTCTCTCCCCTCCTCTTTTTTTTTTTTTTTTTTTTTTTTTTTTTTTTTTTTTTTTAATGCAGCTTAGCCATGTATCCTAGACTGGCTTCAAATTCATAATCCTCCTGCCTCATTCACTCAAGTGCTGGAATGACAGGCTACATCATGACGACTATCCCTCCCAGGTTCCTTTTGGGTGCTCAGAAGTGTCTATCATCTCTGAAAGCTGGGATGTCCACACCTCATTCCCTCCGTCCTGCGACCCCTCAAGCTCCAGCTGGCGATTTCCATATGGAGCAGGCAGACAATCACAAATGAAGTGTGAATTTTGTTATTGGAAGTCTAAATGGCTTTGGATACTTTGTCTCACCTCTTTTCCAGCCTCAATTTCCTAACAGTAAAATTGAAGACACAGTAGCACTGACTTCCAGGGGATATAATCATTCACTCAACAATGACCCGAAAAGTAGCTAGAATGTTCTGGGCACATAGCACTTATCCACGCCATATGCTGCTGTCATCACGACCATCCACTGTTTGTTTGTTTTTGAGACTGGCTGTCCTGGAACTCACTATGTAGACCAGGCTGGTCCCCAACTCACAGAGATCCTCCTGCCTCTGCCTCTGGAGTGCTGGGATCAAAGGCGTGCGCCACCAACCTCCTGCCTCAGCCTTCCAAGGGCTTGCAGTAAAGTACCGTTCAGTGCTCAGCACATGATGGGTG